CTTCGAGTGAAGTCACCATTGAGACTTTGGTGGCTCAGCCAAATTAATCTCCGTGGCGTTTATTCTGTTGAGGTGCCTTTGTACAGTCCGTTCAAGTCAGTTTATTTTTCTAAAAGGAAGGAGATCATTAAGTAAATACAATCATCAACGCATAAAAGGCCCTTTCAAGAACACTCCGCGTGTGATGGTCACGTGACCAAAAGAGCCCAGATAACGCAAATTTCCTGCAGATTGAAGCCAGCCTTCTGAGCTCAACTCCACAGTGGATAACAAAAAAACTTTACTTGAAGCCGTGAATACAAAAATAATCCTGTTTTATATATATATCTATATATGAAGGGGACGACAACGTTGTTTCAGCATTCAAAATGCGGAGCGACCGCACCACCGCCCGAGCTTTGGGAGACGGTGAATGCCGCGCAGCATTCCGATTGACGTCAGCGCGGTCCGGATTGCGGCTTCGAGGCCGCCGGTGCGCGAGCAAAGAGAAGTGTTCGCGAGAGACGGTGGCCCGCTATATTTTCACCTCCAGCTTTTTCCCCCGCTATTTTTAAATGCCTCCAATTAACATAGCCGCGGAGAATTCTTGTCGTTGAGCAAATGACGCACACTCAATAAACCCCCCCCCCGCCCGCCGCTCGCCCGGCCCACCCGGCCCACCCAGCCAGCCCACCCTCAAAAAAATAAAACCGCATCGGAACAGACCAGTGGGGGTGCGTCTTTGTACGATTTCCAATTGGATTCCACTTGGCCGTCGGTCGGCGCACGTGGCGCGATTGGTTTCTGCATGCGGTTCCTACGCTACGGCGCGCGTGAGCGGTTGCCAGGGTTGCGTCACTTAGCAGTGCGTGGGGCTGCTAGTCGAGTTGTCGGTTGCGTGTGTCATTCCACGGCTTCTCCTACCCCCCTCCCCCCCCCCTCGAGTCCGCGTGGTGCTGTGAACGCGAGAGACTCATCCCCTGGTCTCTTGAGTTTCTCGCCCGGTTAAACCAAATGGACCGGACATCTGTAAAATGAGAGCGTTACGGTTCATAGGATTCCTCCAGCATAAAGAAAGATTCTTATTCTAATTCGCCCGATGAAATTGTTTTTTTAATAACCAGCGCAAATATCACACTGAAATTGTAAATGTTATGGGTTTACTCTTTGACACACCGGTATACTGAACTAGTGACTAAATTGCCATGTTTTGTTTACGTGACAAGCCTTACTCACACTGGCAGAGCCAGTGGGGGGGGGGGGGGGGGGTGGGGGGGGGGGGGCTGGGGTGGCACGTGCCCCCCCAATGATCCGATCAAAATCCCTATTTTCGATCGTAATAAATCGGCATTTTGCAACTCCCACTGCCACTGTGCAGCATATTATTACGTGCCAGGGACTCTGTGAGATGATAGGACAATAGTCTGAGTCCATAAATGGCAATAATTAATGGCAAAGCAGTTATAAGTGACTCACAGAATTGTGCGAAGTTGCGTATCCAGTACACGACTTCCCTGAAGGCATCAGCACCTTCAGCGAGCGAGATGCCGATCACACAACGCGGTTCCAATTCGATCCTCGATCGATGGCTGCGCCATCACCGCACACGCGTCGAATAACAAGCAATGGACAAGTCCTTACTTACTAACAACTCCTTACTTACTAACAACTCCTTACCTACTAACAACTCCTTACTCACTAACTCCTTACTCACTAACTCCTTACTTACTAACAAGTCCTTACTTACTAACAACTCCTTACTTACTAACAACTCCTTACTTACTAACAACTCCTTACTTTCTAACAACTCCTTACCTACTAACAACTCCTTACCTACTAACAACTCCTTACTTACTAACAACTCCTTACCTACTAACAACTCCTTACCTACTAACAACTCCTTACTTTCTAACAACTCCTTACCTACTAACAACTCCTTACTCACTAACAACTCCTTACTTACTAACAACTCCTTACCCACTAACAACTCCTTACTTACTAACAACTCCTTACCTACTAACAACTCCTTACCTACTAACAACTCCTTACTTACTAACAACTCCTTACTTACTAACAACTCCTTACTACTACCAACTCCTTACTTACTAACAACTCCTTACTACTAACAACTCCTTACTTACTAACAACTCCTTACTTACTAACAACTCCTTACTAACAACTCCTTACTTACTAACAACTCCTTACTTACTAACAACTCCTCTATCATTTTTCATTGCTGGAGGGGTTGCCCCCCCCTACCTGAAAATCCTGGCTCCGCCAATGCTTACTCATTGGTTGCGTAGGATGGCGGCGGGTTTAACAACGCATTAATATTTACGCGGTCAAACCCCAAAAATAACTTTTATTTTTGCTTAGAGCTCGCGGCTCGCAATTGGAATGTTGGGGGGAATTCAAAATAGCGAACGTCCGTGAATGAAGCCACACCGCATCGGAGTCCCACCATAGGCTGAGTAGACTTCAGTGAGGGCCAGTCCGGGTTAGGAATTTCACCGAGTAGATGACTGGGTAACAGAGTTGCAGTGCTTTCACCACCAACCTCTCCTAATGTTCGGGCATTTGATGTGGCCGAATTGGTAGCACATTTGCCGCATAGGTTAATACTGCGGTATGTATTAACGCTAATAGATACAAGGCCTTCTGCTTCACAGTGCACATTTCCAGATGCCATGTAATTCACATGGATATGCCGTTGCGTGCCAGCGTTATGGGGCAAAAAAATTACCAAATTAGAATTTTATTTCCACTAAAATGACTCAATTTGAATACACAAAGCAATAGGCGCTGCACTTTGTACTGCCAAAATTTTGACAGGATCCTCCTGGAAACGATGTCATGAGATGCACGTGAAGCTTTCCTGAGTAAACAAGCGTAGAAATAGTGGTCACAATAACAACACCTGCTGTTTGCCACTGAGTGGCCGTGACGTCACCACACGCCCGTGCCAGGCTACAGGTACACCTTGAGGCCACGTGAAGTGTGGAAGGCTCGCTGGCAGGAGGTCACGGGACCGACCCAGGTGCTGCGGGTTGACTGACTTGAGATGACTGGCAGATGCACCACCTGTGCTCCCCACTGCCACCTTGCATCATTTTAGCCGCCAGGCGCTCCGCTCGTTGTTGTCAGCGGTCCTTCCTCTGCCCTCTGTTGTTGCTGGATGGCACAAACTAAACGCAAAGGAGTTGTAAAGAAATTCGTTTTCAATCTAGATTTAAAAGTGCATAGCACCAGCGGCTTCCTCATTTTGTAAGGAAGAGCATTCCAGATGGCCGCAGAAGCATATTTGAAAGCGCGTAATGCGGTGACCGTCATTGTTCGGCGGCTAGCCAAAAGCCGCTGCGAGGATGACCAGATTTCCCGTGATTTTTTTTATATTCCTTGACGAGATCAGCAAGGTACTGTGGTTCATTCGTGGCAAGCACTTTGTGTGTAATGATACATACACGTGTGTGCGCACAGGCAACACGCGTGCACGCACACACGCGCGTTTGCAAGAATGAAATGTGACGGGCAACAAAAGTCGCACTACCACCGCCGCGAGGGACGTGGCTGTGACGTCAGCCGAATATCAGAATCGGCGTCTTGTTCCAATATGGCACAGAGATGCATTGTGATAGTAGTAATATCTATCTGCCTCTGCAGATAGCACGTGTTCCTTGATCCGTGCCTGTGACCGACTGTGACGAGCACTTTTTGTGCAGCGAGGGCTGTAGAATTTGAGGCCCTTTCTCTTTTAAATAAATAGTGGCTATTTTGTAATGCCATTAGGTTTTTTCGCTGTGACCTTATTTCATTCGTGATTATTATCGTCCTTATGTACCCAGCAAAAGCATAACTGAGTCTCGTGGATTCTTCAGGAGGGGACTGCCAAGTTGTCAGGAGGTAGGGGGGCGGAGGGCAGGGGGCGGTGAAACCTGCCAGTATTTGATGAAACCTGCCAGACATGCGGTGTCTCATCACCAGAGTCAGGGCTTGCCAGGTTAAAGGAAGACCAGTTTCAGCACTGAATGTCGAAACTGGTCCAGAGCATGCATTGCACAATGTTCATCAACACATTTTTTTTTACATTATTATATATTTTCTGATTTATTAAAATATCCGAACCCCAATAGTTGCTTGAGATGGGCCATCTCCGGTGCGTTCATTCACGCATACATGCTCTTCACCTCGCCTGTTTAAATATCAGTGGGGTTATCTATAAATAGATTGGCCTGTATTATCTGGAGGCTAGCATCCTTCTTATGCCTGAGGTTGATGTAAGGGCAGCAACTGCAATTTTACCTCTTGGTGGATGAGCCCCAGATAATTGCGTCAGTAGCGGCAGAGTATGTCACTGTGAATGATGCCTTCGTCGTATTTGCGAATCGGGCATCAAGTCTACGTTACATGTTCCGTGGCTCTGTCCTGGGTGGCCACAGTCTCCGCACACTGCCAGAGAGTTTAAAATTTTCCATTTGTGCATCGTCATCATCGTCAACAAAGTACAGCCGCATCTGCTGCCGTGGGGTTAGCGCAGTGGGTGCGCTTTATAGTTGCTGCCTGTAATCTTCCCTGGAGATTGAAGCCCAGCGTCTTCTGTGTCCGGTGATGAGGTTGGGGATGTGGCTTGCCGGACACGCCGGCCGCGTCCGCATCAATGTTTAATCGCACGACGTGCGCTCACCGGTGATTTATCTCCAGAAGGCCACGCCGGGTTTTCCCAGAGGATCGGCTGCGTTATCGCTCACCGCTGACATCAGCCACGGCCGGGAATCAAACTCGGGTTGTCATTTGCGCAGTGCGCGAACTGCTGCCCGCCACCAGCTCTGTCTCCATCATGTCTTGTCTCTCTCGCTCTCTGGGCCGTGCGGCAGAACTGGGAGCACGATAGCTTCATCTTCCTCTTGATCACACGTTGTCTCACCCTCTGTCTGGGCCGTGCTGTAGAACTGGGAGCACCATGGCTTCAGCTTCCTCCTGATCACGTGTTGTCTTTCACTCTCTCTGTCTGGGCCGTGCTGTAGAACTGGGAGCACCATGGCTTCAGCGACGACTCCGTGGCCGACTTGTGGAACATGAGGCTCGCCTTCTTCTCCGGTCTCTCCGTCGCCATCGTGCTGGGCGCCATCTTCGTCCACTACCTCCCTGAGTGAGTTCCCCATGTCACGGTGGCTCGGAGATGTTAACTACCTCGCCTGGTGTACAGGAGGTCGTGAGTTCGATCCCGACCCTGACGCCGGTATATTTTGAGTTTGCGTGTCTTTCTCTCCCCACGTTCGCGTGGATTTTTCTCCGGGTCCTCCTGTTTTCCCCTCCACATTTATAATCAGCACGCGTTTTGGATATTTTGCTGCTGTAAATTTCCACGTGATAAGCCACTTCGTTGAGCTATCATTTGTGTCCAGGTCCAAGAGCTATTTAGCTCAGTGGGGCCTTACCTGGTAAAATAAAACAAAGTTTAAAAGTTTGAGCTTAGTAATGCGTGCTCCTCGCCACCGCCACCACCATCATCACCGTCGTTTACTCCGGTTCAGAGTCGTCATTCACGTCGTAAACAACAACGCCAGTAAGTGGACTCTGTCCCCCCTGAAGCGTATCCTTCTGTGCACGCAAAAGTTTTTCTTCCGCGTTTTATACTTTTTTGCGGCCGACTTGGAGGCGACCCTGCGCTGTAATGGGAGGGATCCTTGCCTGTAATGCCTGGCTCTGCTGATGAGACGCTGCGTATCCGAACCGGTGCAGAGATTCCCCTGTCTGGGTTGTGTAAGAAGTACTTTTATAAAGGCAAAAAGTGTGTAGGAGACGTATCATTATTATTAGCCTGCTTTTTTGTGTCATTGCAATTGGTTCAGCAAAACTGTCACCCGACAAAGGAATGCGTCTCATGCCCCCGCCAAAAGCGAGTAGGCAGGGCACATCGCCAGAAGGTGATAAACGGCCGATGGGTGAGACTGGTGATGGAATGGCAGCCAAAAGGAGGAAGAGAAACGTGCCCGTGCGCACGACCACCCGCGGAGGTGGAGCGGCGGAATGTGTTCGCACGTCGGAGTGTGGCATCACAGGACCGTGGAGGGATGCTGACAGGATGGAAAAGGCCTTCCTTCATTCAGCAGTGGATAGATCATAGCTGATGCTGCTGCTGCTGCTGCAAAATAATAACGATGATGCGGTGATTAGTGGCAAAAATGATCGCTGTGGGCCTTGCGTGGATCGCGGCTCTCAAGAGATTCCCTTCGTGGGCTGGCTGGCTGGCCGGTTGAGTGGGTGAATGAGGCGATAGCGGCGATAAATGGAAACGTTTCGCTGTCACGCTTTGGCTTTTAACCCCCGAGCACTCACGGGAAAGGCGAGTGGACCTGTCGCATAGAGTCGTGGCGAGAGTCGTGGCGAGAACCTGGTGCCCTCGCCGGCGCGGGAGACTCTCTGCCCCTTGACGAGCGCCAGGGTAGCGGCACAGCGAACTAAAATGAAAAAAACCCGCGCACATTGCGGCTGCCGTTGGGCGCACCTCCGATTAGCACGGCTGGCCACGCACGGGCGCGGAAGAACTTCAACGTGCGTACGTACGCGCATGCATATGCGGCCAAACGATTCTCACGCTGAAAAATGACATGGAGATTACTCCGTTGGGCTTCCAGCTTGGCAACATTGCCGTCTGCTACGAAAACTTTTCAGAATCCTCCTGAAAAAGAGCCTTGAGACTCGGCGAGGCATTCCTGGGTAAACACGCGTAGTAGTAAGAATAAATAAATATAAATAATAATAACTTGCCAAAACATTGGTATGGAATTCCAGAATATCTCCCGAAACCGTCCCCAGTTTGCAACCACATCAGGTCAAATGTGAAAGGTCTGTTGAGGTCAAACGCTGACTTAAAATCCGCACGTGTAGAATTCACGCGGCGCGTATCGTGGCTGCCTCCATTGCTCGCTACGTATCCCAAATGAACCTGCGGCGTTCCTGCCACTCCAAATTGCTTCCCCCGTAAAGCAGGATTGCCTTGACCCTTGCACCATTGGCTCAAAAGGTAAGGCGTTAATATTGACGGTCGCCATCACCATCCCTTCGTTCCGCGGCCCCCCCCGGTGCTCTCCTTAACAGGGGGGGTTAGGTGTAAACGCTGGACATCTGTGAAAAAGAGCTTCGCAGCTCATTGGATTCCTCCGGTTTCAGTACATCTTCTGATTCTGAATTCGCCAGCCGATGGCGATCGCGGTTGGTGCACCGGTTGGGCCCGTGCCCTGCGAGAGGCGTCAGAGCCGTCGTGTTTATTTGTTTGCCTGGCTGCTCGTTCTTTTGGCCATCGCGCGGGACCACGGGCGTCCTGTTTTCCCAGCGTGGCTCATGGCCACCGCCTGCCGGCTCGTGAAACACGACGGGGATTCAGGTTCAAGTAAAGTTACTAATACGTGCAGATGCACACACTCTCACACACTCGCATGCACACACACACACACACACGCGCGTGCTTGTATATCAAAATGCGCCGTGTATATGATACACATATCATAGGTAAGCTACATGCACTGCATTCGATATACACAGCACAACTAAGCTGCATGCAATGCATTCGATATACACAGCATAGGTAAGCTGCATGCAATGCATTCGATATACACAGCATAGGTAAGCTACATGCAATGCATTCGATATACACAGCACAACTAAGCTGTATGCAATGCATTCGATATACACAGCATAGGTAAGCTGCATGCAATGCATTCGATATACACAGCACAACTAAGCTGTATGCAATGCATTCGATATACACAGCATAAGCAAGCTACATGCAATGCATTCGATATACACACCATAAGTAAGTTGCATGCAATGCATTCGATATGCACAGCATAGGTAAGCTACATGCAATGCATTCGATATACACAGCACAACTAAGCTGTATGCAATGCATTGGATATATACAGCATAAGCAAGCTACATGCAATGCATTCGATATACACAGCACAAGTAAGCTGTATGCAATGCATTCGATATACACAGCACAACTAAGCTGTATGCAATGCATTCGATATACACAGCATAAGAAAGCTACATGCAATGCATTCGATATACACAGCATAAGCACGCTACATGCAATGCATTCGATATACACAGCACAACTAAGCTGTATGCAATGCATTCGATATACACAGCATAAGAAAGCTACATGCAATGCATTCGATATACACAGCATAAGCACGCTACATGCAATGCATTCGATATACACAGCATAGGTAAGCTGCATTTAATGCATACAATATATAGCATGTTAAAGCTGCATGCAATGCATACGATATGTACAGCATAAGCAAGCTGTATTCAATGCATACAATATATACAGCATAGGAAATCTGCATGCAATGCACACAATATATAGCATGGTAAAGCTGCATGCAAAGCATACGATATGTACAGCATAAGCAAGCTGTATTCAATGCATACAATATATACAGCATAGGAAATCTGCATTTAATGCATACAATATATAGCATGTTAAAGCTGCATGCAATGCATACGATATGTACAGCATAAGCAAGCTGTATTCAATGCATACAATATATACAGCATAGGAAATCTGCATGCAATGCATACAATATACACAACCGGCAAACCATACTCCGTATGTATATCATGATGTCGAGATGCAAGCGGTATGGTTAAGCTGTTCGTCGCAGTGTGGGATGGTGATCATCTTTGTTGCTGTTCCTGAGCCCACTCGACCGCTGTTGATTTCCGACAAAGCGGTACGAATTTTATTGCCTCTTGAGATGATGGGCCGAGTCAAACCCCCAACTGGGATCCGAGTGCTTTAACAGTGGCGGCAACATGGCGGCTGGTATTTCAGCACTCGACTCTCTTAAGAGAAATACAGCTCTCATTACGCCACACGACAGACATTTAAGCAGACACTTTTAACAATGTCAAGAGACTCAATGTCTCCACGCTATTGAGTGTGCAGGCAGTGCAACTGCAACGGCACCCAGGGGCTGGAGGGGCCCAGGCGCCGGGCTGCGAATGGCATGGGAAGGCGGACCGTGAGTTTTTCCAAATACCCTAGCATAGGATCGCAGAGCTTGGACGATCGTTAACGCCGGTTCTGACTCCCTTCCTGCCCGTCTGCTGTCCCCCCCCCCCCACCCCACCCCCCTCGAGCCTGCCGTGTGAAAACCGCGCGCGACACAAATGCCCGTGGCCGATTTTTTTGAGATGCAATTGGAACGTGTAAGCGAGACAAAAAAAGCCCAGCAATTGTAATGAATGAACTCGTGATTCCTCGCGCCAGGTCCCGTGCCAGTAATGTCGAGCCGCTGCGCGCGGGCATGCGCTCGTCCCCGTCGACTTTGCCTCGCAGATCCCACCCCTGGCACCACGACGGGGTCCACAACGGTTTTGTTTACTGCCGGTAAAAAAAAATTGCCACGCGCGTGTTCAGTTCTCGCTCAACGGGGGCTCATGGTTACCGCGAGAAGAATGCGGCACTTGAAGCCGTCTGCTAATGCGCGTTGGCTCGCACGCACGCACGCTCGCACGCTTGCTGGCACGCTCACTCGCACGCACGCACGCACGCACGCTCGCTCGCTCGCACGCACGCACGCACGCTCGCTCGCACGCTTGCTGGCACGCTCACTGGCACGCACGCACGCACGCACGCTCGCACGCACGCACGCACGCACGCTCGCACGCACGCACGCTCGCTCGCACGCTTGCTGGCACGCTCACTGGCACGCACGCACGCACGCACGCACGCTCGCACGCACGCACGCACGCACGCTCGCTCGCACGCACGCTCGCACGCACGCACGCACGCACGCACGCTCGCACGCACGCACGCTCGCTCGCACGCACGCACGCACGCACGCACGCACGCACGCACGCTCGCACGCACGCACGCACGCACGCTCGCACGCACGCACGCACGCACGCACGCACGCACGCTCGCACGCACGCACGCACGCTCGCTCGCACGCACGCACGCACGCACGCACGCTCGCACGCACGCACGCACGCACGCACGCTCGCACGCACGCACGCACGCACGCACGCTCGCACGCTCGCTCGCACGCTCGCACGCACGCACGCACGCACGCACGCACGCACGCTCGCACGCACGCACGCTCGCTCGCACGCACGCACGCACGCACGCACGCT